CATTTTTTCCATAGCTTTTTCTAATGAAAATTCTTTTGATGCTGCTTCACTTATTTGTTCAAGTTTTGGTATATGTTGTATAATATCCATTTCAATAATTTTATTTAAATTTGTATCATCATCAGGTTTAAATGGTTGTCCAATAATTAATGATATTTGTTCCCAATGACGATCACGTAAACCAGGATTAAATAATGTTTGTATTAATGGCATTTTTTCTTTAAATTCTCCAACTTGTACACGTAAACGATTTGCCATTTTACGTGGTTGTGGATTATTATTAAATTGTCGTTCAAGTTTAAATAATTGTCGTTCATAATTACCAACATCTTGTTCAACTTGATCAGGTTGAACTTTATCTCTTGGACCATCTGTCCATTCACTAATTAAATTAATAAGAGAGAAAAAAATAAAGAAAATTTATTTTGTAATCTAAAATAAATTTAAATACATACATAAGTTTATTAGTAAATTCAACACCTGTTTCATATAATTTTAAATAAGGTTGTAATTGATTTAATGTTTGTTGACGAAGTGGATAACTTGTTGTATCCCATTTAAATGATTCTTCTTCAACATTAAATTGTTCAATCTATTTAGAAAAAAAAGAATTATTTGATAAGAATTTTCTATTTTTCATTTTGTAAATTTTTAAATGATTTACTCGTTCAGCAGCTTGTGTTAATTTTTGTTCAATATGTTGTGCTTTTTTATGATAACGTGGTAATTCTTTAATATTTCCCATTTCTTGAAGTTCTTCAACTTGTTTAGTATAATTTTCAAGTTCTTCAACAAAACGTTCACGTTTTAACTAGAAATATAATTATTTAATTAAAACAAGAAAAAGTAACAATAATTAATTTAAATATTATTACTGTTAAAGCTTCTTTAAATTGTTCTTCTTTTTCTTTTGCAATTGTTGCATGTTCTTCAAATGCTGCTGGCATACGTTCGATCCATGAAAACATATTTGTATTTAAACGTAAATCAGCTGGTGGTAATTCAGTATTATCAAGTAGAAAAATTAATTCATCTTTAGCTTGTACAAGAAGTTTTTCAAGATCAGGTATTGTTTGAGTTTTAGATTTTGTTAAAAATGCTTTTATTTCCATTAATTCAGCTGTACTCATTGGTGTACGTACAGCTTGTTCAGCAATACGTTCAAATTGACCAATCAATCTAACGAATAATTAAAAATTATTTTATAAAAATCTCCATTGTTCTATATGAAATTCATTTTTTCCTAAAGTTGATTGGATTTGGAGGATGCGCATTCTTTTCAACATTGATGAGGTATAAATAGTGGAATGAGTTTTGAATTTAGAGTATGCTAAACAATCTTTAGAAGATTCTTCCGGAGAAGTCTATAATAGGAAGAGTAAGGAGTGAATTATTTGATGCTATTTACATAGTAATTCGTTTTTTGCAATGCACATTTTGCATTGTATAAGGTTAATACAATTCAAAAAAATTCGCATCTTGTATCAAAAAGTCGTGCACTTGAAGAAGCATTTCAATATTTATTTTTAATTAGTTTTGACTTTCAAAAGACGAGTTTTCAATCTATTTTAGTAATAAGATGAATAATAGCAAAGTACTAGTGTTCACCAAAAATAAGAGAAATCCTATTGTGAGTTTACTTAGTTTGTTGAAAATGTTTCTCAGGCATAGTGTTTTATCCAGAGCGGTGCCCAGGGGGAGGGGGGGCGGGGGGCGGCGGCACCCCCCAGAAAATCGAGTTCGCCGCCCCCCCTCCCCGAGCCTTGTGCTAATCGTGCTACGAATACATGGCTTGCCCCCCCCCCTCCAGAAAATAATTTTTCGCGCCCTCGGAAATTCAAATCGCCCCTCCGGAGAAAAAATCCTGGATAAAACACTGCTCAGGTATGTAAGCCTAGCCACTGAAGACAAAGAAAAATTTTTTGCCCATTGGACAGTACTTTAAGTTTACAGAAAAATCCATTCGTAGATTTGAATTTTTCAATTTTTTTTTTTCTAATAACCCAATGTATTCTTCTATGTATATAGCTGTTCTTTTTTGTCATAGCTTTTTTATAATATAAGTCTAATACGTAACATATGAAGGTTGACTATTGATGAACAATTGATAAATTTGAATTAGGTTTAAATGATAAACAGAAAAAAAAACAAAAACTTACTCTTCACCCGATTCTCGATGATCTTTAACCATTCGTTCAAGTAAACGATTCATACAAGCTTCTGCTCGTTTAGCTAATGAACGTATTAAATCACTACAATGAATTTCAAACATTCCACGGCGAACAATTTTTTCCAAATTATATGTTATTTCTTCAATTTTTCCTTTATATTTTCGTACTTCTTGTACATAGTCATTAAATGAATGCTCTTGATTTAAAAATTGTTCAACATCCGTATCAGCCTAATAGAAAAACAAACATAAAAAAAAATTTTTTTTCTTTAATAAATTCAAACCTGTTTTGTTATTAAAACAGCATATTGTTCAAATGTTGCAGCATGTTCATGTGGCCCTTCAAATTCTGTACGTAACATTTCACGTATACGTCCTTTATGTGATTCAAGTATTGATGAAAGTATAACAGGAATTAAATATTGATTTTCACCATGATTCTAACATAGAAAATTTTTAATTAAAAATTACATAAAAACAAAACAAACATACAATAGAACGATCAGAAAATAATTTTGCTTCAATTCTTGGTAAATTTGCACATTTCGCAATAATTAAATCATACATTGAAAGAAAAACTGTTTCAAAATCTGTATATGATGGTTCAAATTTAATTTCATCTTCACTTAAAAACATATTAACAATAAAACCTAAAAGATAGATAAAAAAAAAAAAATTCACAAGTTTGTTTATTTTTATTATTAATGAATTAAATCTTCATACCACTATGTTCATAATTTCTAATTGATTCTGGTGGTGTTATAAGTAAATTTGTATAATCTTCAATTGTATATAATGTTATATCTTGTAAACATTGTGTCATTAATGTTGCAACCGTATTAAAAAATGAACGAAATTTTGAATCATCTTGACTTGGAACAATACCACGTTTATGACCTTGATAAAATATTGTTTGAATATCACTAATCCATCTATTATAGAAGAATAAAATAAAATATAGAATTATTTTTATAAATAATTATTAATTACCGTTTAGCTAATTGTTCTCTTGCTGAATCCATATGTCGTTTACAAGTTGTATGAAATGTTGAAAGTTCAATAGCCTCAGTTCGTTCACGAAATTCATCACAATCGATAACTTTTAATTTTCTATTTAATGAAAAAAAAATTCGTTTTATTTTTGGTTTTTTTTTTGGAATATTAATTTACTTGTATATATTTTTATGCCACATTGATAAAACTTGTGCCATAGCTGGATTAATTGAATGAAGATTTTTTTCAATAAATTTTGTTGCTTGAACAAATGATCCATGCCATGGTTTAGGTAAAACAGCTATTTCTTGACGATGTGGAAGAGTTTCTTCTTTAACTTTTTCTTCTGTTTCACGTGGATCATGAAGAACAAAATCAACTATTTAAAAGAAATAGTAAAAATAAAAATTTAATATTTTCAAAATTTCTTTCTCTTTCTTTATATTTACCTATTGCTTTTTTAACACTTAATAAATAATCTTCTTTCATTTCATCTGTAAGTGAATTAACAAGTGGTTCCCAACTATGTCGTAAATCATGTGGAAGACGTGAAAGTGTATCGTTTATACGATGATCATCTAATTCAGCTACATATTCAGTATCAATACCATTATGAACATAGAAATGATAACGCTATAAATAAAATAGTACTATTATTCTAATACGAAAAAAAAAAATGAATATTCTTACTAAAATATCTTTTTCAACCGATGTTGGCATATCAGATACACCTGGTGTATTACCACTTCCATTGAGATATAAATTATTTAAATCATTTCCACCATCATTATCTGCATTTCTGTAAAATATAAGATTTTCTATGAACTCTTTTTCTTTTTTTTATTTTTGTCTTACGTGACAATATCAACAAGAGCTTTACGAAAATCTTCACGTTGTTTTTTTGAATCAACCGTTTTACGATGTACAGCTTCAAGTGCTTTCGCATCAGGACTACGAACAGGTCCTAGAAGTCGTTTTCGTTTCGGATCACCTATAACATAAAAACAAAAATTTGAAATATAACTTTTCTATTGTGATATCATGAAATTTAAGTATTCTTTCATTCTGTTTAATTTTATTTGGTGTGTGCTTGACAACCGATACTACTTTTTGATCTTATTCTTTTTCTTCTAATCCATTTGATTATATGTATTAGAAATAGTGTTTATATTAGAAAATAATTTCAAATAAAGATCTTATATTTCGAAACAAATACTCTTTTTTTTGTTCTGTTTCTCTTAACAACAACAAAAAAAACAAACATACGTTCAACAAGTTCTTGTAGAAATCGTTCATTTTCTGTTGCTACTTCATTAAGTTTATTTTTTCCGGGAACAAATAATGGTGCACGAGGCGTTGTCCATTGTGGCTTAACGCGTACATCAGGTAATTGAGGTAAGAATTTCGCTGGATCATGTGTACCTTTTCCTTTGGTACCTTCACCACGAAGACCAAGTCGATTCTATTATAATGATTACATAATACGAATAATAAAAAAAAAATAAGTTCAAATTAAGTGCAAAAACAAAAAAGAAACTTTACCTGTATATCAGCCATTCTACTGTATTTGAATTTGGCCAACACAGAAAATGAAATTGTATAAATGTATCTAATACCATTGTAGATGTATTTACAAGTTTGATTACTAAGCAACAAATGTCCTTCGATAGACTTTAAATGATAATGAAGAATATATATAAAAATTATTTATATTTTATGAAAAATCCTTTTTTTTGATTAAGAAATATGATTTTGAAAAAATTTTTATTTATTTATTCTTTTTGTCATATAATGACATCTATTGTACAAATTTTGATTGATTTTCTTTTTTATTTTTTTATACAATTGATGATGGATCGAACAATATGAAACAATCGATACAACATGTAAAACTATTATTTGAAATTTTTTTCTTATCTAGTTTTTTACATTTATTTATTGTTGGTGATAATTCGGAATGAGTTTTTTCATTTTGTTTTATTATCATATTATTTGTTAATGATGTTGATATTGTTGTTGATGAACGTCGTAATAAATTTAATGAAACAAAACAAATATTATCATGACGAGAATTTATTTTACGTTGACATTTAGAACAAATATGTTGTAAACATATTGCACAACGAAAACTTGGATGTAATAAAGAAAATTTTACTTTTCGACATGAAAAACATATATGACCATTAATAACAGTTCTATATAAATTAAAATCATAAAGTAATATGGCAAATTCACTATTCGTTTGAACATTTCTTATATGAGATAATTCATCAAAATTTAATGGAACATATAAGTTTTTTTTAATTGATTGTTGTATATCGATTGATGTTGAAAGAGAAGGTGTAATATCTTGTATATCAATATTACATGATGATAATGATGAAGAAACAAGAATTTCATTGCTAGTTAATTCAGTATTATCATCCTCATCTTCAGTCATAATTGGTTGAACACGTTTGCGTCTAGGCGTCGACATCAATATCGTTCGTCTGTTTTGTTTACTTGGCGCGAATCAGTGAAATGTTGTGATTTTACTATATGGAGAGATATATACTTAAAGAACGAAAGAGAGTAAATGACAAAAGATTATTTTCTTTTTAACATTCGTCCAAGATGTATGAAACAATAATTAGTAACAAAATCTTACAAAGCCCAAGATGAAATAAAGTCAGAAAGGCGTTAAATGCAAAAATGTTACGCAATTGTAATACACAATAGGTTATGTATATCTTTTCAATATATCGTCAATCTTATGCGTATTTTTATAGAAAGTTGTTTTACTTTCAAGAGAGAGCAAAAAAAATTGAGGATACTGAATGATGTCAGGACAATAGCAAATATGAATTTATTCTGTTTTTGTTTTTCATTTTACCAAGAAAAACAATCATAAGAAGAATAATTTGTTGTCTTGAACTCGAAATTTTTCTGTCTTTTTTTTCAATTAAGTGATTTTTCTTGTCATATGATATGCATGTTGAATATTTGTTTCTAACAGTCTGTATTCATGAGGAAAGTACTCAAGATGCCCAGTTTTGTTTTGATTCATTCATACTTCATTCGATGTAGCATATGGAGATAACGAAAATTCTAGAGAAGTTCGAACTCATCATCTATTATTGAAGAGTTGTGATTGATTTACTGGGGTTTTTTCTAAAAGCCAAGCATTTCAAAGAGACTCGTCTTACAAAATGTATTCTCCAGGCACAAGATAATGAAAAACATCTTAAATAGACAATACTTTGACACACAATTTTATCAAAGTCGAAGAGAAAACAGTTGAAAGTGATATACTGAATCATATTCGTTGATGACAAATAAAAGTTAGATCAATTTTTAAATATTATATTTTAGTGGAATTCCTAAAAATATTTGTAAATATAAATCTATTCATACCATTTCTGTAATAACCATCTGTCTTCATATTTCCAATGACATATAATAAAATTTGATTTTTGAATACATGAATGAAAGCAATACTGTCTACACATAAAAAAAAAAGTATTGAGAAAACTAAGAATTTCCATAGTATCTATTCGTTTAATTACTTTTCCTATTAATATTTTACACTTATTTTCAAAATCTTAATTCAAATACTCACTATCTTCATTTCTTTACTCACTACTCTTATTTCGTAGATAAATACAAAAGTATTTGGTGATAAATAAAATATGTAAACTATACATACAATTAATTTAAAGTATTTCAAATAAGAATATCTTAACAGTAAAGAGATGTGAAGAAGTTTTCATTTCAATAATATATATATTAAATTCATAGAAATAAGGATAATTTGCAGAAAGAAGAATACGTTTCAGAGATAATGATTCAAGAATAAGCCATTTGGTTTTATGATAAATTTTTAGTAAGATTTTCCAACAAAATCGATCTAATATTGGATTAGGTAACGGATAGATAGTATCATATGATAAATATCTCAGTGAAATTAAAATCATTAGTAAAATTAAAATCATTTACAATTTTATTTAATCCTTTATTGATACCCAATAAAGAGTAGAGTACTTCGAAATTATTCAATTTTTTCAAAATAATCATAACAATTTCATCGAGTAAATTATTCAATTGAACATATGAATATTCTATGTTTATTTTCACTTATGATTAAATTTCTTAGCTAATAAATGCCAATCATAATCTATTTATAATCACTCGTTCTGTTTGATTGATACTATCAATGAAAACAATAATGTATTTTTTTATCATCTAATGATGTCAAATAGATAATGAACGAATGACAATATTTGTTTTCTTTAACGCTACTACCCATCATACTTGATGGACTTCTCTCAAGTCAATAATCAGAGCGCAGCCACAAGGGTGACTGTCCAAATATTTCTCATAGAGTTATTCTCTTATTTGACCTTTCAATGAATAATAGTTCTTCACCTACCGAAAAAAAAAACGAATGTTATTTGCCAACGATGTGGATAATGATATGTGTAGCTCATCACGGATACAAGAATGGATTTAAAAGAAATATTCACAGTTTATATAAAAATTCGTAGTCAACTAGGAGATTGTATAATGCGAACATCATATGTTGGAATGGAATGTAATGAATTCACTACTTGTGATTTGAAGTTAAATTCATAATATTTGCATAAATGTTAAAGTCTAGATTTTAAATAAATTTTCTCGTTTTACGAAGCAGATCGTCAATGGTACTTGATTATTCATGTTAACAAAGTTCAAATTCATCTGTTTGTGATAATCGTTTAATATCAACATCACATTAAGTAAAAATCATAGTTTATTTCATCATAGTTCAAATTATCCACATGAACATGAAAATTCATTAAATTGTTCATATCAAATTGATACAATAAAATCTTATATTAAATTTCTTGTTTTTTCTATCTTAAAGAACATAATGGAATAAATAATTTATATGTTCATGTGATTGTTTACAAATAGATAATCGATCTTATTGTGGTTCAACTATTAATGACAATAATCATGTATCATCCACCATTGCGTTCTTAAATGAAAAGATTTTTGGTTGATAATCAATAGTGAACAATCATTACGAATATCATATGAAAGTCGAATCGAATCGACTTCTATAACAACAACAGCATCAACTTCTCTTATTCCTCTGACTGAATCATCCCGTTTATATCATAATAATACTAAATGTCATCATACACTGTCATGTATTCTTATATTAGTCGTTGTCTTTATTGTTATTCTTGTATTAATTATATTTTGCGTGAAACAAATACGATCAAAAGCAAATAGTAAAAATCGACCATTTTTTTGTTCAATAAATTCTTTTACATCGTTATCATCATCCATAAAATATGATGAAGCACCAATATTAACATTAGTTGATATGCAAAAACAACAAACATTATTAACATGATATATTTTTCAATCAAATCAACAACTGCAATAGATCCTCATAAAGATCTGAATATATCAATGACATTACAAAGATAATATCATAAACAAAAATCATCTGACAACCATTGACTTTATATCGAATATCGACCGAGACTTTCTTGACCAGATGATGCTTATAATTGAATGATTCATTTTTCATCTGTATCTATGAGTTATTATTTTAATATAGCAGTATACACTTTTTATCTTCCTCAATAGTTATTTGATTCTCAACATATTATACAACCATTTCAGGATAGGCAATGTCCATATCAACATTTAGTACCTACACTTCACCTCAACAATAATTACAATGTATGTTTTATTATGAACATAGTAAACAAAAATATCTGACAAGAACTCATGAGAATGAAAATTTAACTATTAATTAGAATCCTGAAATACTATTCTGATAAGAACAAGAAGAAGAGATTTGTGGCGAAATTTTTCCTCTTACCATCTTTTTTAATGTCTTTATTTGTGTAGTGAAATGAAAATATAACAAATCATTTTCTATCACAATAAAAAGAATACTACATTTAATTTTTATCAGCTCGTTCTCAAGTAACATATTTTTATGAACAACACTTGACTTTATATTACTATAGAATAGAATCTGTACGGTAAAAACAAAGTTTTTAAACATATTTTTCATATATTCATTGTCCTGTTTATTTCATCGCATCAGAAAAACAATAAATACCATTTTCATGCAATTCTCTACATAAAAATCCACTTTCATCTAGTTGACTATTTGCTCACATATAAACATATCCATACCTGTCCGATCATTATTCACTTAAAGTTCAACACCTTTATTGCGACTTGACCAACTGTATGTTTCCTTGATTTTCACTTCGATCAAACAAATAATCTCCAAAATAGTAATAAATCATCTAATGATGTATATGCACTTGTACTTGCATTACTTAATCATTGACCAATATAGGTATTCCCATTTCATCAATAATACACATTGTCACAATGTCGTTCCCCAGCTTCACTGAATTGATCATAATATTTATCACCAGCCCAACGTCATTTTTCTTTAGCTTGTGAAATTTGAAAAATTGATTGAATTCTAGACTTAATTGTTTTCGAAAGTTGTAAACCTTTAGAATGTTCTTGTTAAGATACTTTTAAAAAAACGATAATTTCGATACATTCTTTTTCTTCTATTTCAACACATACCGAATCAGTAATGCTCCTATGTGTTTTTTTTTACCAAATAACAAAACCTATGTCATTTTCTTTAATCTTTGGACATAAGTTTCTTTTTTATTAATTGAGACAGTCTTTGTTTTTGCTTTTATTCGAAATGAAAAATAAGACAAATTATATTTGTTGTTCCTCCTACTGGAATTTCTAATTATTTTAACATTCAGATCTATAGATAAACAACTGCTTCTTTACTCAATCAATGAAGTAGAAACAGAGCACATACAAGTTCTAGTTAGTTCAAACGAAAAAAAGGTAACGAAAAGAAGTAAAATATTTTTGTACTGTTCATTCAAAATAAACTATTATAAGTGTGTTGGACAATTATTCTTGCATGGCAACATCGTTACAGGTTTTTACTGTTATTATTATCATGTTGTCGATGATAATCATTTTTTTCTCGTCATGTACCTGACTACTTGTATGAGAATGACACTGTTTATGATGATCATTTTTTTCTTCATATAATAAATGATCTGCATTACAAGGATATTAGAGTGATTTATCTTTTTAATAATTTATTACCGGTGATAAAAAGATTTTGTTGAAGATCATTTATTCGTTTTGGTAATATTCTACCTATATTAGAATCATTATGTTTTTAGACACTTTATTATCTGTAATATAAGGGCGATGAGACATTTATTGAAGTGATTCACTCCCTGTACTAGAAGAAGAAAGACGTTGATGACCATAATCCCTTTGATTATATAGTTGAGTCCAGGTTGTTGAAAGACGTGATTGAGGACCATTTGTTGCTTCTGGTAATCTTTTACCGATATTAGAAAAGCGTGAGTGTGAGAGTGTGGATGTCTGTGTGTATTCTCTTTTTCACAGTCACAGTCACACAGCCACATCCATCCATAGTCACATCAACACAACCACACCGCACACCTACCCACTCCGTGACAAGATTTCACCCGTTAGACAGTTTCATTATTTTCCAGAAAACTATAATTAGAAGGAGAGTCAAAACATTAACAAGTACGAACATCATTAGAAATCCTTGTCTTAAGTTCCATATAGTTGTCGAAATAGCCCTTGATTTTCTTCGATTGTGGGATTTTGTCTAGTTTCGGGTGTCCAAGACATAAATATATTGCTATCACTTTTGAACTATTCACCAAGTACTCCACCGTATGCTCTCCAACTTTCCCAATGATGACAATAACATATTTGCATCCTTCTGTAGACTTAATCTGATCAATTAGTGTTCTTTCACCGTTGAATGAGGCAAAGTCCCGCAAAGTTCCTTTCAATGAAGTTTTTAATCTAGACGATTCAGCTGTGGCGGAAGTGTCCAGACAGATCAAAACTAAATTTTTGAATAACGGTGGAGCTTTATGCAAGTCCGATTTGTGTTGACTTTCTTCATGAGAGTAGCTCGACCTATTTCCAAAACAGTTTCCCATAGCTAGTGTCAGTGTTGCAGTAAATATGTAATCTAAAAATAGACATTTCTCGTTCATGTAAAGTAGATATATTATTGTCATGAAGGAAAAAGTCAGCTAACTGTTGGCGTACAAAAAAAAAAACATTTTTACCCTTTGCATCGTATAGATTTATCTTGCATCATCGCAGTTACATGCGCCTGAAGAGTGCTGTGAATAGAATTACAACCAGTTACGTTTAAAAGAAAAAAAATATTCTACTTTAAGTGTTTCAAAAATGGCTATTATATATTCGTAACATCCACAACTCATTTTGAAATCAATAAGTAATGTTTTGTGAAGACGACAAGTGTTCCTTCTATGCTGACAATATTATAAAAAAGCAATAAAAATCAAGAGAAGTTCATTTAATTACGAGAAAATCCCAATGCAAAGAGATCTTCAACGACATCGACTGGAATCATAGGAACGAAAATTCCACTGAAACTGTAACTACGCAATATCATTTTTTTAAAATATATATACGAATTCAAAACATACGATGTTACGTATATTATCGAACCATACGGAGCGCAAAAAGATTACTAACAAAATGGGTTATCAGCTTCGAATGTCGAGAAAAATTTATTAGAACATTCAGTACGATTGAAACCGATCTAAGGATGAGCAAACGGTGAGGTCGAATTGCATGAAAAGTTTTTCAGCGGAATCGACCTACGAAGTATTCCCTAACAATAATTGATTGAGAATTCACTGATAGTTAGAGTATACCAAAAGTAGTGGTAGTGACACTTCAATACCGTATGGTAAGCTTTTAGTGTCATCATAATAAAATTTCAATAAGATCTGTTTGTTATGATATGTGACAGTAATATTAAGTCATGTTTTGTCTTGGATGTGTATCCTCTTTTTGATGTTCTCTCTATTCTTCTCTTCTCTTTTATAATATAAGAGGCTTGAATATGAAGTGCAGTACACACTTTAACATAGAAGCAGAAATTTTCCTTGTTCACCTGAGTTAGCAATGAACAGTTTTAAGGTTTAATCTAACTTTATTTCTTTATATTGCTGAAAAATATGTTAATTAACTGAACATACACACCAAACAAACGGTACACGTGTCTTTATGTATATGCATCGACGATTAGGTATTACAGAAGGCGAGAAAAAAAGAACAAGAGAAAGGAGAACAACAAAGAGAATAGCAAAACAAAGAACAGGCCTGTAGAATAATGTTTTTACTATCAATCCATATAAACTGAAAATTGTTTTTTAAGCTTGCTATACAGTATTTGAATGCCACTACCACTACTTTTGGTAGATTCTCCGTGCATGAAGCTCGAATTTTCTAATTTCTCATGATTTGAATCAGAAAGAATCGATTCAAATTGGATTTATTTGCTTATTTTTTTATATGGAATTTAGATAGTTGATCTTCGAGAATCTATCGATTCGTTAGACTTGACTTCTAAAACATTCGGCTTAGATGATACATGCTTGCTGTTTTTCTGTTGAGAATCTTTCTATAAGCGAATAACCTAGCATAGATTCTCTAATTTAAAATTTTCTTTAGTTACTCTAAGTAGACGACATACATGTCAAACCTGAAAGTTGAATTCAACTATTCAATTATTCATTGCAGCTGATGTGGACGCAGCAAAATGACTGAGAGAGTAGAAAATATTAAATAGTTGGATGTCTGAACTTCAACTGTTCAATAATTGAGTAATTGAATTCAAGTTTCAAGTTTGACACTGCTGATAGACAAGTTCTTGCGGCTATTCAGTCGCTGCTCCAATACATCAGCTTACTAGTATAGTCTTTGATTTCATGTAACACCTAATCTTAGAGGTAATCTCTTTGTGTTGCCATCATGTTATCACATCATTAGTAATATATGGCTGATTGTTTGACGACGAAACGTGCAGTAAGAGTGATAGAGATGTGTTACTTTCGTTTTAATGTGCCTACAATACATCATGTGCTGCATTGTTGGAAAGAAAGAAAAGTAAAACCTTTTTCCATTAACAGAAATGAAAGAATACTCAAAAATCACCGATTCCTTTTCGCTCAACACAAAACGATCAATAAGTGCACCGGGAGCAATTGTTGATTTATACATGTTCGATACTTCAAACTGCTTCATGCATATGACACTGTTATGATCAGAAGCGTAAGTCGAACAGTTAAGCCATCGCCCAAAGCCAAATAATGTTACAGGTTTTTAACCGTTGTCGTGGCACAAAAAACATTAGGTCTTCGAAAATTTTCGACATTCAGAATTAGTTTTTGGGAATGTTCTTTCGATAAAAAAAAGTGAAAAAAAATCTGCTTTTAACTGTTTTTTCGTTACTATAATAATCCAAAGTATGGCATGTATATCAAAAGTTGGTCTGGTATTATATTTACCATTTGTTTAGTCATCAAGTCTAAGAAACTATTCAAAAAGTTGAGTTTCTCAATTAAAGCTCGAGAAAAACGCGCTTTATAACCATAATGATTAAAGTGATCAGAAACTGAATAATGTGACTTAAACTGGACTAAAAACAGATTTTTTTTATATGATTTGTCGAGTTTCTTGTCAGCCAGTTGTTTATCAGCATTGTCTATCTTTTGCATTTCGAAGTCTCTCGAAATTAAGAAGATTTTACAGAAAACCATCGCAGATATCGAGCCGCTCCTACCGTCAATTAACTCATCGACTTACATCTCTAATCATGATAGGCGAAAGAATTAAAATCGTTCATGTATATAGCGTGATTCAATAGCAGCATCGAGGAGCAGTAATTGTTATCGGTAGAGTTTGAAGCAGAAAACCTTTTCTTTCTGAACTGCCCCTTTGAGAAAATTCTAAAGATTCCAAAGTTGAATATGATGCACACTCCAATGCACGATTGCTTATGAGCAAATCAATAATCGATCAATAGGTGGGCTGTTTCTATGGTTTCTTATATAATACCTTCACGAGCGATATTGGAAAGTGAGAACAATCAACTTCACAGAATAAGAACTTGATATCGTCGAAGAAAAAACCCTAACCAATGTTTGCTTTTTCATGCAATCGAAACCGTCTCTGGCGGACGTAAATGTAGTAATCATGTTTCCTAGCTTCTTTTTAGGTTCAATTTTCAAACATGATACAATGAAGTCTGGCGATAGCAATAGTTTGAGAAAGTTCAGTACGTTACATGGTATCAACTATAAAAATTATTATAGTTGTTATTTACTCATTTATGTGGCGCCTTTTAGAATAAACTACTTAAAACTCTCATAGACTTATAATTTCGAGTTTGGGAGTTTCTAACTTTGGATTCCTCAAAGAGCGACAGTGACAATTTAGTTCTATTTATAGAGCCGAGGGCTAGCGTTTTCTTTCGACGGGTCATTTCTCTTAAATTATCTTGTAGTTGACATGATTCAAAAGTTAATTCACTAAAAAATAGTACTTACTCATATATAATTTTTAGTACCGCAATTGGAACATTTTTTTCTTACAGTTCTGGCCAAAAGTCCCTCACCCCCTCCCCCCTGAACTTTATCAATATTTCAAGCTTTTGGTTTGAGATTTTGGCCGCACGTGAATACTGACAAACGCTGATCATCGACACCAACCTGACATCAATCAATGTATTACAATAGAGTTATACGCCAAACACTATCGTCATCTTGCATTGTTTGTATCTCAGTCGTACAATCACTTTGGAGATCGAGAAATCCAGCATTCAAAAGCTTGAGTCTTCAGCTTTCTTCGATAAAATTTGCGTTAGAAACATCCTTGGGATTGCTGAGATATCAGTCTGTTAATGGATATCGACCGAATCACAATTATGATGATTTCCACTTCGTCATAATGAAAATCACCTTTACATTGACCGATTCACTTGAGAATTTTTTCTCCACATACTTCTAGATATAGGAATGTTTCATGAAAGTTTCAATGTCATAGCTTGTATTAAACTCGAAATACGACGATATAATAGTCTCGTTACTGATTATATCGCCAAACATTTATATCTCAATGAATCCAGTTGTTCTCTCTACCCAGCATTGTACACATTAGGAGCTATATGTATCACTGGAAAAATCTCCTATAAGTCGTTTAGATATAGAATAATTTTTTTTTCTATATCAAATCTTACACTTTCTGTTTATACATGTTGTCCTTCTTATATATCTAGTTTCACTAATTTTTAAATAATACAATATCATCCGGTTTAATAGAAGAAATTTTCCGATATATACATATAGAGTATTGACAGATCTTTTAGTATTTATTCGTATAGTGATTCAGAGAAGTCGAATTGATATTATAGATGCTTGGGATTAATCACAAAATGTTGATTCTAAAACTAAACCTATTACATTTAGTCAAGATGATGCAAAATCATAACTGAAAATATTTTCATTTTCTTTTATGTTGCTATCTGTACTATTTATTGGATATAGAACAATGCTGGGTAGAAAGAACAACTGGATTCATTGAGATATAAGTGTTTGGCAACATAATCGATAACGAGACTATTATATCGTCGTATTTCGAGTTTAGTACAAGCTATGACATTGAAACTTTCACGAAACATTCCTATATCTAGAAGTATGTCGAGAAAGAATTCTCAAGTGAATCAGCCAATGTAAGGGTGATTTTCATAATGACGAAGTGAAAATCATCATAATTGTGATTCGATCGATACCCATTAAGAGGCTGATATCTCAGCCAGAGATGGAACTGGTACCGGTCTGGATTTTGGATCGCTCAGTCTACCGCTTTAAATCGGTCTGATCGGTCGAAACCGCCTTATACCGGTCTATATTTTTCACTTTCCTGCTCTATGATGGTATTCATATGAAAAAAAACTGGCATCAAGATTAGGTCACTGGTCACACAGGGATTTATTTAACAAACAGTTTTCAGAATGCCCATCCGTGAGACTATTGTTATCAACGGTGAAACATTATGCCAGTATGCGTGAAAGTACGAAGGTAGCTCGCAAGAGTGTTCACTATGAAATAAGATTTCATTTCAAGCCTCAGCTTGTTGTCTGTAGATCGATATTTTGTCGGTAGGTCAGATTTTATCTTATAAACTGACGTATCATCAGCATCCTGTTTAGTACCAGTAGGCTGGTTTTGGTCGGTAGACCGGTTCCATCTCTGATCTCAGCAATTCGAAGGATGTTTCTAATGCAGATTTTATCGGAGAAAGCTGAAGACTCAAGCTTTTGAATGCTGGGTTCCCCGATCTTCAAAGTGGTTGTGTGACTGAGATACAAACAATGCAAGATAACGAGTGTTTGGCGTATAACTCTGTTGTATTACATTGAATTGATGTCGAGTTGGTGTCTATGATCAGTGTTTGTCAGTACTCACATGCAGTCAAAATCTCAAACCAAAAGCTTGAAATATTGATAAAGTTGAGGCGGGGAGTGAGAGACTTTTGGTCAGGACTGTGTGAGCTAAGTTTTGTACGCCTGCACCCGCAAGATATGTTACGATTTAAGCTGCAATGATATTTTGGTGCATTTTATTATAAAACACTGATGAATCATCAGTTTTTAAACAAGATAAACGGAAAAGTTATCATGTTTAAGAAAGTTGTTTTCTCCAAGGATTAGCCAATGGTTCTCCAACGAATATACCTTGAAAGACTTGTAGAATACTTTTCCAATAGGATTCAATAAGCGTTTCACCTTTGGTGTAATGTTGTATCATAAACTGTGGATTAGGATATTTTTGAGTCCAGGAACATGATTCACTGACCGTGCCAAATGTTCCAGTAGCACCGCCAGCAATAAATTTTAGAACAGACATCTGAGATGAATCGGTGAGCATTCCACCATATGATGTCAAATGATCCGCCACTGCTGCTGGTGGATATTTGTTGGTTGCAATATCATTAACAGCATGTAAGCCTTGAAAATAGAAAAGTACATCCGTAGTTTCTGAAATTGAATTGGCTTTCATAACTTGGACATTGACATATGGACTCAATGTTTTTCCTAGGTAGCCAACAGGAAAGACTATGGCACGAACACTCCTGACAGAATCAGTTGTGTTCATTATATAAGCAGAACCATTCGGATACGTTCCATCTGATGCAATTCCTCGATCGATCAAAGCTTTGACTTAATCAATATTCTTTCCTGCAAGCATCATGGCTGGACGTATTTTAAAATCAGTGAAAGGTTGTGTCGAATTGGAATGATAGTAGGGTGAGCTAGTAGCCCAGTCACAAGTTCCTGTTTTACAAGGGCCTACTTGAAATCCGAATGTGAAAGAGGAAGTGATTGAGTTGCATTCAACACCATAGGGTATTGTCCAAGCAATGGCAAGAGCCTGAACGGTTGCTGGCATCAATTGATCAACTTTGGTTTTCAATGGTACAAATTCATTGGCAGTCAATCTAGTTACCTTGGAAAAATTCAGATGTACTATGTTTTCAGAGGGAATCTGACGACGTATTCTATAATATTCGGCAACCGCTATACTATCGGGATCATTGTCATTGACTAGAAGACCTAGCTGTTGAGGTTGAAGGCCACTCCATCGAGTAAGTGTTACCAAGACTGTAGGTGTGACAGCCAAAAGACCAGCTTGTGAGCGTGCAAAAACTTTAAAGTAGTATGTAACTTTATTGTCAAGACCAGTGGCTGTAAATGAAGTAGTTTTGGAATTAATGGCGTGTACATATACATGTGAATTAGCACCATATTCAAGAACATAGCTTGTCGCTTCAGGTAATTCATCCCAGATTACAGTGACTTGTCTATCGCCCACCGCCGTATGCTTGATTGTGAATCCATCTAATGATGGGATAGCTGCAGTAAAAAAAAACAGAAGTAAAATCGTTATGTATTTCTCTATTTTCAGTCCTTATTGGGTGTGGGTGTGGGTGTGGGTGTGGATGAAGAAGGAAATCACACCCACACACACCCGCACCCCCACCCACATCGTTGAACGTCCCTCTATTATTGGTAAAAAAATCAGCTCATTTGCTCAAGCCGTAATGGAGATATTCAATTTTTTTCGGTAAAGTAACTTTTGCGCCACCCTGTGTATTGCGACTATCATCGTCTACCCTCATTGTGTCATAGCTCGTTGTTAATTAGTTTTTTTCTTTGCTATGCTATAACATTAATTATTTCGTGTATGTACTGATAAAAATCATATAGATGTGACAAACAACACATAACATGTGAGTGGAACATGTTGCTTTTTTCCAGGTAAATATACAGGTATTTTATACGACATCAAACTTCGCACAAACAACAAATAGCATATCGACATCGTTCGCTCTACTCGAAGAAAAGGAAATATCTGCGCTTATAGTTCGAAAACTCTGTGCTAGCTGCTATGATAAAAGAAAAGAACAATAATCAAGAGAAGCAAGTCATGCGATACCAAAGAAAATAAAAATCTTCTGTTATGATTGTGACAAAAATTTTTTTTGTCTTGATTGTTTCAGTGAGAAGCGTCATTCTATGCAATAAATGATTCAAAGAATAATAACAAAGACAGATTGGATGACATATTATATGTAATCTCCTGCATAAGAAAAAAAAGGAAAAGAAAATGTTTTTCTATTAGGCTTCTTGTTTAAATGTTGTGGGATCCACCGATGGGTCACATCGCTTCGAATGTTTTAAATCGCGTTTATTTATTTGAATTATTATTGTAGAAAATCAAAATGAACGTCCTCCTTTTTTTACTAGAAATAAACAAGAGGCATTCATTGACGTTTTATCTCTTCGAGTTCAATCATTTTTTAAACACATCGTGAAGACCATGACCGATACCGTGAGTAAGCAGAGAGGTAGTAGCACTGGTGGCGATAGGAATCATTGTGTCTCGTATCTTTGTGGGCTGAGGAGAGACATGACGCGCAGCTAATTCGGCTTCAATTGCATCGTGTTTCTTGTGGTGAGAATGTATCTTGTAAAGTTTGTAGCCCAAGCCAGCGAAGACGATAGGGGCTGCCAATCCTCCTGTAGATACCAACGATTTTACTCCGAAGCCCGCGGATATGGGAATGGTCGATATTTTACCATTGTACGCTCGCCTGTGTTCAACTTCCTTACGCTTAAGTTCGTCGTCGGACAACCATTGGTATTTTGTGGACCTAAGTTTTTCATTGGACAACCCCTGATAGTTTGTGGGTCCGAGTTTCTGGTCGGATAATTGATTGTAGTCTGTAGACGAGAGTTCCTCGTCCGATAACCAATGATCGTCTGTGGGCCACAGTTCTTCGTCGGATACCCAATAATCGTCTGTGTGACAGAATTCCTCGTCGGATACCCAAAAATCGCCTGTGCAACAGAATTCTTCGTCGGATAACTGATACTGATAATGGTCTGGATAGTATGTGGACATTAGACGATGGTAATGTTGCTAATGGACGTACCTTTTGTGTAGTGTGAATGATGTCGATATACTGTTCCTTGGCTACGGAAAGTTTGATGTCGTATAAATATTTGTAAATTTATCTGGAAAAAACCAAAGTGTTTCGTTCACATGTTATGAGTTGTTCGTCATCTCTATATGATTTTTATCAGTATATACACGAACTTACTAATTTTCAACATAGAAAGGAAAAAACCTAATTAACAACGAGCTATGACATAATGATGGCAGACGATGATAGTTGCAACGTGGTTGTAAAAGTGGTCTTCCGGAAAGTCATGACTCATGAGCAACCCACGTAACATAATTACTTTGGACTGATATATAATCACTCAATCTTACGACTATATCATGACAATCATCGTCTATCATCATTATGTCATAGCTCGTTGTTAATTAGGTTTTTTCCTTTCTATGTTGAAAATCAATTAGTTCGTGTATATATTGATAAAAATCATATAAAGATGACGAATAACTCATAACATGTGAACGAAACAAATTGGTTTTGTCCAGGTAAATGTACAGGTATTTTATACGACATCGAACGTTGCACAATCACGTCGTGGTTGTCAATATCCAATTGATCTTAGCTTTTATTCATTTAGACATGCCACACGTTCACAGTAGCTTGATGATTGTTGACGAAAGCTAAGTGTAACAAAAGCAGTCTCTTTCGTTATACATCAATTTAGTCGCATGAAAAATTCGTCTGACGGATGAGCATCAGAAAAATCAATCACAGAGAAATAACCAATTATTAACAATGACTCTGTCTATATAACTAAAAACTTTTTTGTATTTAGATGATTGACAAACTTCTTGTAACTTGAAGTCAATCGAGCAATTTTTCTTTAAAAAAAGTCAGAAGCATAACACATTGTCTTAATCTGAACTGATTGTAAGAGTAAAAATATTTACTGTTAGATGGACAAATGAAGGATGTTATTTTTCGTATGGAATAGAGGCATATTACTTCAAGTACTTCACTTTTAGAAAACCAGTCAAAAAAAGACTGAAGATTAAATAGTATGAATTGAGAATGTGGATCAATTAAGTTGATTATCAATTCAAATATCATGACTCATACAAAAGTATTAAACTAACTATCGTTGATTCGAATCTGCACATATGGGTGAATTGCGCTGGTAGTCTACGGCTTGACGTAAAAAATCGAAAAAAATAAAAGTGAATTTGAAGAATCTATGAATGATGCATTCGATGAAGCTCGATTGATTGTATATAAATCACGAATTTTCCTAACTGTCAGTTTTTTCGTTTTGGGAAAAATCGAGTTTTATTTAAAAAATGCATGTTTTTCAAGATTTCTTGACACAATTAAAGAAATAATTTTGAAAATAATTTGACAAAATAAAATTACTAAATGAGTATTTATATATTGTCATCGTATATCAATCGAAAGCTTTTGAAAAGAAGAATCAAATGAGTATATGCAAAATTTTATCCGTACAAATGCGTGCATATTCTAAGGGCATCAAGGTGCGGATGATCCTCACATGCTCACCTCTACCACATCCTCAGATATTTTGGCCATTCTGAAGGTTCTAAGAAAAAAAATTTCTTTATGAAAAGATTTCTTGCCCTCTACTCTATCGAACAGAAAAGAAAATTTGAATTTGCTTATAAATCGACTTTAGTAGCTTCATTTTCACCTGTTGTCACATTTTGGTACGATAAAATCCATCGTGACGTTTTTCGAGTAAAATACTGTTTTCTCACGAACGATAGTCATTAAAGAGCTGCAATTTTTATCAAGGATCTACCATATTATCGGCTAAAAAAGATTAAAATAAATTCATTGGCTAAACTCTTATAATTGCTGAGAAAACAAAGAAACCAAATGAAAAAAAATCTATCGTAACATTTAGTAGAAAAATAGTGGCCTTTCCCTGTTATTTGTAGCTTTTTATTTGATCCAAAAGGTTCTTAGAAAATATTTTTATCAAAAGATTTCTCACCCTTTAGTCTATTGAATAGAAAAAGAAAATTTAAGTTTGCTTTTAAATCGGCTTTAGTAGCTTCCATTTAATCTGTCATGACATATATTGATCAAAATGTATGTTTAGATACTTTTTGCACGATTTCATGGCCGATTGAAACCAAATTTGTGATCAATTTACATAGTCAGAAAGTCGAAAGTCTTCGCTACAAAATAGTGCAAACAAATTATTTTCATTTAATCAAAGTTGTGGGAGCGAAAGTGAATTTTGTTGGTAGATGATGCCAAAAAAGCACAGATTTTCACATTATTATTTGAAAATTTCGTAGCGAGGGTGTGGGGTGTGCGTGTGAGTTGGGTGTGGGTGTGCGTGGATGAGGTGAAGAGACCCTTACCCACACCCACACCCTTATGGAACTGAAGTTCGTTCTCGTCTCGTGGCATTTTTGTAACTGCAGTATGCATTTTTTATCTTATACGCCATTGTGGACCTCAAAAGTTTGCTATCTGTTCAACAAGCTTAGAATCAGCTACTCTTTGTCATGGCGAAAGATAAAAACTGCATATCAACAACCCGTCGTCCTAGTGAAATGATCAAAAGGAACCCAACCCGTTGAATCTTTTTGCATCACAGTATTGGAGTCTATGACAATGATATATCAATATTCTTTTCACCGAAGTGCGCATCGACAGTCAAAGATCAAATATCGTGGAAAGTTTGATAAATCGAAAAACACGAAAAGTGAAACGTCTAATTTCTGCATAAAAAGACGCATATCTGATTTAGAAAGATTTCAGAGACTTTTCTTCTCCTTTGTGTTGGACAGATTTGAAGGCTTCCATATGTCTACTAATACGGGCATCGTGTTGCCCATGTGAATAATCCACTGAAGGGAGATTTATTTTACTGTCTATTATAGATCTAACTATACTTTCGATCAGGCCGCAATTCTTCACAGTCATGCAATTACCTGTCGAGTCCGCTGAGAAAGGATGAGATCAGTTGTGGGATTCTGAAAATATGACGTACCAACTTGATGAAGTCTGTAGTGAGATAGAAACACGTGTAGTGATCTTGCTTACACGCTCTCATGCCCACATCCAGACACGATATTTACTTGGTTACTGTAACTGGGTCCTAAATTTATTACTCTTCTTGAGAAAACTAACTAATCATGCAATAAATGTGAGAGGCTTAAGTAGATGCGGCGAAGTTTTTACAAGTAGCGAAATGAGATACATGGAGTAGCTGCTGAAGGAAATTAATTAGTTTGAAGGAATCTTAACACCGGTTTTTTTATGATCAAACATGTCGCCAATGTTATTAACAACCGTATCACGAGTTCCTAATTG